CAAAATGCAGGAAGCGCCATTTCAGAAGACTTAATTTTTATTATTTTCCCCCAGAATAACTAGATTTCAATTCACTGAGCAGTCTCCCTCCAGTAGTTGGAATGTCTGTGTACATCCTTCCAGAAAGTATGCCACTTTGACTATGGGGCCTCATTTTTGTGTATTTGACATGTCTCAATCATGAAAATGAGACTCTACAGCCTACAACCAAGATGATATACTTTCTGGAAGCAAGTATTAATTAAAATACAGTTGTTCAAAATTAATCAAGCTTTAATTGTATGTTCAGTTCAGGCACATATTTTCTGGGGGTGTGCACCCCCCAGAAATGATCCCCCCAGAGGCATTTGGCAACGCCCCTAAAAGTTTTTGCACCCCACAAATAATATATATTTTGATTTGATAGTTTCATATTATTCTTACTACTAAATTTGTAAAATTACCAATATTATGGTCTCAGATCTTGCCATGCAGGCCTAGAAAACAATTTTTGTTAAACTTTTTCCTTGGACTTTCTGGGCATTGCGACCAGGCCCCAGCCAAAGCAAGCAGCAGCAACACCCCCCCCCCACCCCCAGATGTGGCTTGATACTGTGTTTTGCCACCCAGAAAGGAGAGTGTGTCATTATGGAATAAATCTGCAATAAACATGAATAGATTAAGTATACAGATTGTACAGTACAATTATCCTGGTAACATAACTTACTCACTCACTCACTCACTCACATATGACCAAGGTAAATAAACGAATGTGGCCTAACTCCTCAGCTTAAATCAGAACTATGAGTGCACTTATGTAGGCACATTGTTTATTCAGAGTGATATTTACTGAGAAAACCTGTAAGAAATCAGTGCATCCTGGAAATGAGGTATGACACACATGCATGCATTGGCACACACCTCAGCTAAACCTCGACTTAGGGAAAAGTGTGATTTATCTCAAGCCTCTATAATGACACAAAAATCAATAAGTACGTATCCCAACCAGAAAGCTAGCACCTCCAGCTTATACTGTACATAAGTTGGTACATACACAAAACCTAAATCCCTCTTTCAAAAAGAAAGTCTGTGGTACATGATCATATTCAACCCATATATCAACATTAAGATCACAGCCCGTTACTCGAATAACTGTTACGGAAATCCTTTCGTTACTACACGAATTTTCCGCACGTTGACTCAGTCAACAAACCTTTGGGACTGTATTTAGTTTTTTCCAATTTCGTTTATTCAAGCAACAATCTTTTACAATCCATCAACTATAACCAATTTTACATAGTAGGCTATTACATTCAATACCATCTCTGAAACCTTACAGGAGGACACTCTTTAGTTGAGTTAATTAAACACTCGGCTAAAATGTCTCGACCAGTCGGTATCACGTCTCAAACTAAGTGCAGTCGGTCTCAAAATTATGTGTTTGTTTACACGCGGTGCTTTGCGAAGCAAACTAAATATTTTCGAAACTCGTAGACGTATCAGACTCAATTAAACTATTGAGTTGAAAATTTCCCGAAACCGGCTCAGAAATAATACGAAGAAATATTAGATACTTATATCGCGAGTTTATGAGCGAATTATCAGTCAAAACACGCGCGGCAAAGGATGACGTTTCCATTTAATTTCCAAACATGGAGATATCTATATGTCACGATTACGTGTTTGCACTTTTATTTGGAATTTTGGTTTGCAAGGTCGTTCATGGGTGATATACTTTATTAACGAAAATTTCAACAGCCCAAAATCAGCTTCCGAAATGCAATGAATATTGATCAAAATAGCTTTACATTAGTTACAATAGTTCTCCGATACCTAAACTATATTTTCAACTTGCAAATTTGCAAAAACAAATTTTTGGCCGAGTTATATTAAATAATTAATAGGAAGTATGTTCACATGTAACACGATATGCATATACTTTTTGTTACTAAAACGTTTTGTATGCGTACTGCAGTCAAGAAATTCGATCAGTGAACGACGCCCTGGTTTTTCTGAAATCCCGGAGCGAAACATTGTTTCCACTGACTAGGCGATGTTTCCAACCGTAAGTCCGTAACCGTAACTAGATATAAGTCAATCGAGTCGGTGATTCGGTAAGAATATTCGTGAAAAATTTAAAATAGGAAACTGAACTCAAGTTCAATGACAGACTGTAGTTTTCGCCATAAAAAGAAGCATTCTTCTTGCACTGCAGTGACGTGAGAAGTGGGAGGCTGTGTGGGTGCACAAGTAACCTAATAACAAAAGTGCGGGTTAGCGCCATATCTATGGTTAGCGCGCCCCAAATATTACCACAATTGGACACAAACACATTTTTATTATGCACCTGATCATGTTCGACCAAGAATATTTGTATTAATTGTACTTCTTCTTCAGGATTTGGGGTAAACTACAGTATAAAATTATAGTCATTGTGTCACTGTTTATGAAATTGATTTTTCGTTTGAACTGCTCCCAGAATGCAGGAAATACCGAAATAGCATTTTAAAGCAGTTAGAAAATCAAAAATATTTTGAGGACAATGCCCCGAGACTTCCCCCCAAAAGTGTCTCGATCAATCAAAAATCCTAGTTACGTGCATAATGAAAAAAATCCTAGTTGCGCGCGCCTGATAAAAAATCCTAGTTACACGACAATAACAATATGACGTTTCACAGCAAACTGTACGTGTATTCTTGCAAAATTCCTAATAAATGCCATCAATTTCCAATGTTTTGTTCTCAATTTTATTGCAACACAACAACTAACCAAGAGTCGGTCTGCATTCACATTTCAGTGGTGGGTCGGTCTCATTTCGTGAGTACACCCCACCCCCAGTCAAAATCTACATGTCCGCCCCTGACTACAACAATATTTTCGCACTCGTATTTATACTCCAGAAATTAGGAAGTAGTTTACACGTCATGTTTTATAACAGAAAGTTTTTTGCTTAGTCACGTTTACTGTAAGTTAGATTTTGTTCTAAAACGTATACGTGCTGTAATTACGTCATACATCGTTTTGTATCGTGCTGTATTTACGTGCTGTATCATCGTGCTGTATTTACGTCTTTCATCCCCCAATATCCGGAGAACCACTTTCGCGCTTACCAATTTAATACTTCAAAATATTGGTTCATGTGTTGCAATGCAAGTTCATGATCACATACTTAAAATCCCAGAGATTTAAGCAGAATTGGATAGGACAGCATGATCATGCATCGTGCCTTCATTGGCCTGCCCCATCCGAGTATTTGGGACTGTAGATTGCTATTACCTGAATTATAGAGAGTGACAAGAGGTAAAGATTGGAATGCGTACAATCTTGGAACATATTTATCCTGAGCTATCGATCTTCGCTCCCGCAAACAATTTTTCATCATCGAATTTGGCGCGCACGGGTCAAACGCACATAATATACGTTTCGGTCCGACACTAGAGAACACTAGAGACTAGAGAGCGACGTTGAAGCTGGCGGTGTCAAATCAAACGTCGAACTCAGGCTACGTTGTACCGGATAGCATTCCGTAGCGAAGTGAAAACACCTATCCGTACCGCAACGGAAAGATGTCGTTTCGTTCAGCTTCTGAATGTTGTACATACATTCCGTATCGGGTAGGTGCTTTTACATGCCGCTACGGAAAGCTATCCGGTGTAGTGTAAACGTAGCCTCAATATGTCGCTCACAATGTAACCTGCGATCAGGCCTATAAATTAATAAATAGGCTCCATGCCTTACAACCGTATTTCGGTTGAAAATCTGATGGGTCTATGAGACAAAAGATTTTTTAATCTGCCATTTGATTGGTTGGTACGTGCTAATTAGATTATACTATTATATTGTTGATATATTTTATAGTGATCACAACTATATTAAACTAGATTGTTGTTGTCGTTGTGTGATATTTAAATTTCTCCTGCGACATTTTGATTGGATACTAAATATAAACTTGTACATGCTATATTTGTAAATTAGCGCCTGATTTCAGGTTACTCACAATGTGAATCATGAATTGACATAAATATGTAAAATACATGCAAACATTGCAAACATTTGTTGGCCCTGTTAATGAAAGCGTCATTTTCATTAACACGGCCAGACCGGTCAAATTGTTGAATGGAACACAAAACGCTTGGGCTTTGGACCTATCTGACTGGAAAATTTAGATAAAATTAGAATGAGTTTCATTTTCGCTAGATATTTGAAAAACATAGACCACAGATCTTTCCATTCATACAGAGCGGATAAAAATTTGAGTCTGACCGGTCAGGCAATTAAATGGAAAGCGCCCGTGTGACCCATGAGAAGAAGAGCGACGTGTGACCATGGGAACTAAACAGAAGTGTTTGTTACATGTTTTTGTCTGAGTTTATGTTAGTATGTGCACGGTCACGGTAACTGAGGTCATTGAATAATTAATTAAGTAACCGTCCAATAGGGATAGCCGAGATGAAACATGCAGTCACGATGAATAATATTTAATGCAGTTGAGACAAAGGTTTGTGCACGCAGGGACCGCGGAGACGGGGGGGCTGGGGGGGCTTTAGCCCCCCCACTTTTTTTGACAGCCAAAATTATTAAAATAGAAATCTAAATGAAACTTTCTAAATTAATTAAACCTCACCCTTTAGCCCCCCACTCTCTAATACGCTCCGCGGGCCCTGGCACGGTGAGGTACAGTTCAACATCAAACAAAGGTCTTCTATTTAATTTTGTGGCTTTGAACTATGAACTATGCCCGCGGGCCTTAGAAAAGAATAGTAAGAATGTCATATCCTAATATCATCGTCTGTCATACTATAAGAACGTCATAACTCATAAAGACGTCATAACGTGAATACTCATAAGAACGCCATAACGTCATAACATATTAAACCAACCCTTATAAGTCATTGACATCATAACGCCATAATTAATAAAAACATCATAACTCATTTGACGTCATGCCATCTTAAGGCCGACGAAATATAAACTCTATCCACGGAGCTCTTTGCATAGTTGCGTGCTCTTTCTTGTTGGGAATGTCTTTTGAGAAATCTGCAGAGATAAGTGCAGGGGTACAGCTTCTCATACAGAGAGCGTCTGGTTTGAAAACAGTGCAAGGGACAAATCTTGGTTTAAGCTTTAAACCTCGTTCAGATGACGTGTTCGTCGTGACTGTAATGAAATGCGGCACAACATGGATGCAACAGATTCTACATCAGTTGCGTAGTGGTGGCGATATGTCATTTGATGAGATTAGCAATGTCGTCCCTTATATCGAGTTGGCTTATGACACCGAAATAGACCTCGAGGCTGAACACAACTATCAACCGCGGTAAGATCCCACTGACCTTTCATCATAATATATGATTTAATTATATTTTATGAAGAAAACACAAACGAAATCATGACCATACAAAATCATGCTGATTTACGTAAAACTGAGCGATTGATATACACCGGGTGGAAAGCGTAATTTAAAAATGAAAATCAAAGCCCATCAAATGACTTTCAGACAAGACATAACAATGGCCAATGTTTCGTTGTATTGTTCACAACATCTTCAGAGCAATTAAACTTATTTACTAGGTTACCCACAGGGCAGACCGCAGTAATGCTGCCTTTGACAGCAAAAGACAAACTACAGGGTGTTGAACGAGTCCTTCAGAAACATCCTATTATTGTTATCCTTGTTAACCCATTTATTGACAGTACCCTACCACTGACCGAGTATTAAAAATCGTCTGGCGTTGGACAGGGTAAATACTAAAGTAGGGGTCATTACTGTGCTGATGGATTATTAAACAAGAGACATTGGCAGATAGGTTTGTTAACCCATTTACTGGCAGTACCCTACGTCACTGACGAGTAAAATCTTCTGGCGCTGGACAAGGGAAGGGCGCATTGCCAGCTAATGGGTTAAACCACCGTGGTTAATTAAACATAAGATTTGATGCTCCAGGAAATGTAAACAAGCTATCAGTGTGACATCCCAGTTTATATATTTATATACTCGGAATATTGATTTCTCGGCAAAATTATTTTAAAGTATAACAACCGGCGAAGAAGTAAGCCACTAACTATACCCTAGTCTGCGTGCAGGCTAGCCACTAACGTTTCTAGCATGTTTTAAATGTATACACAAACCGCCTACAAACGTTTTGCGACCGCCGACAGCCGACCTCTGAACTTTGATAAATAAAGCTGATTATTGCGCGTTTTAAGTCTGTATCATACAGCGTCGATTTCTCACTCCTGCTTAGTTTCTTATGCGAAACAATTATGTTAAGTAAGCTTTAGGTCATGCTAAGGTTAGCTCCATAGATATTCCCAATACTAAATTTAATGTTGGAAATGTGAATTTGGACGATATTCGAACGTATAAAAACAACAACACTCTTGTCTATGATGGGAAACGTTTAAAGTGGAACGGCAACTATGATGAACTGGAGAGTTTTATTCAAAATACCGTTGGTTTGAGCGGTAAATGGATTTCACCTGGCGGGAACTCTAAGAAGTTTATAAGCAACTCAGATCTGACAATAACTTGGTATCGCGGCAAACAACGAACATTAGTTGTCCAAGGTAGCGAAGGGGAGTCTTTAAAGAAATTACTGGTAAGCCTAAATAGTGAACTTATGTTGCCCCAACAGAGTGACACAGGCGTACAGTCTGCCGAAGTCTCAGTAATAACCTGCACCGGTGATAGAAGCGAAGTAAGCAACCTAACAACCGAGAATAATGATTATCGAGCCGAGATTCCTGTCGCCAAAATAGATATAATATCACCTATTGATAATTCGTCGCTTGTGGAGCTTGAGAATTTTATTGACGATTCATTTTGTAATATTATGAACTCCCGACACAGTGAAGTAACGAAGGGTACTGTGGAACAAGTATTTGTAAATTCTACCCCCTTTAAACAACGCGAGAGTGACAACGCCACTACAAAAAATGCATTATTTGACAATTTTAAAGAGAAGGTTGAATATGAAATATCAAATTTATTGGCTAAACTCACCAAGCAAGACGAAACTATCAACATAAATAAGCAAGATATATGCAAATTGCGTGAAGAAAATTTGCATCTCAAATCACGTATCTCCAAATTAGAAGAAAAGATGGCCTCGGCCTCCATAGAAAAATTCCCTGGTGCTATTGAAATATCTTCTGTCACACCTACAACGCAGTACGTCCCCATAAGCACTAAGAAAAAGGCCAACGAAGACCGAATACCGGAAAGTAATGTGCCTAATATGCAGTCCAATCCAGAAGTTAGTGTACCTACTTATGAAAATTTGACCTTGCAACCGCGAACCCAGCAGACAAATAAGAATCGTTACGACCGCCCACCAAAGAATTCCACTCCTTGCCCATTTCTTCTGCGTCGAGGTTGGTGTCGAAAGGGAGACCGATGCGACTTTCAGCATCTTAAACCATCTCACAATACACATAAACATAATGTCCCCTGTCCTTTTTTGCAGAACAGAGGCTTCTGTCTGAAAGACGATCGATGTGATTTCTCCCACGCTTGGGTACCAACCAGAAGGTCGGTATTAAAAACCACTACTAGTAGCCATTTGCCACCTGCCTCTTTTTTATCCCGAGCGCAAGTGCCATTGCCACCAAACGTCCACACAGCCCAACCTCAGCAGCTCCAAACGTACAGCCTACACCCATGGCGACCCCCATCTTATTCAAGGCCGTTAATGGAAATCCCACTACCCTCGTCCAGTTTTCCCCGATTATCCTCCCAGATCCACCAAAACAGATTTTACTAAATCCTCATAAACAGAGCTCCACTCCATGTATTTCCCTTGAGTCCTCTCCCACATGCATTCCTATGCTTTTCCCGATCAGCGATCTACCAGAATCGACCCCATCACGATACTCCTATTCAGTACAAAAAACTAATACACTTGAACGCTTAAAATTTGAGTCTACGTTACCCTCCACCAAAATACCAAACCTTTTAATTTGTAATCTCCGCTCCCTGACGTCCAAGGTCGACGAACTTGACGCTGTGGTGTCTTTTAACCAAACGGACATGGTCTGCATTACAGAGACTTGGTTATCTCCTGCAATTCCTGACAATTTGGTATCCTTGTCCAATTTCAATCTGTTTAGGAACGATAGACTGGTTTCAAACGGCGGAGGTGTTTGTGCCTACATAAATAGCAATATCTATTGTAGACGAATTGAGGAATTTGAAAACTCTTCGATTGAATCACTGTGGTTATCAGTGAGACCAAAGAAGCTACCCCGCTCTATCTCGGTTATCTTACTGGCTGTTGTTTACCATTCAACAGCATCCCGCCAAACTGAAAATGTAGAATTGTATTCACACATTCAAACCAATGTGGACTCATTTTTATATTCCCACCCTGAAGCTTTGGTCCTAATTACGGGCGACTTCAATTTTAGAAGCACGGGTCTCGATGCAAACCATCTTAAAAGAATTGCTGGTCTGACGCAGATAGTCAAGGTAGCTACCAGAGCTGATGTAACTTTAGACTGGTGTTTAACCAACTCAAAGGTGGATAATATTTACGAATCAATCCAACTTCCTCCCATTGGAACCAGTGATCATTATACGATTCTTATGAAAGCCCAACCTTCTCCCTCAAAGCCAGACAATTCACATATATGGAAACGCGATCTCAGAGATAGCAGGATACGGCCTTTTGGACGATATATCACTACATTTGACTGGTCTCCTATCTTGGACATACATGACTGTGATACAAAATATGAAAAGTTTAACGATACAATGACTGTGATGATTGAAAAATTCTTTCCCTTGGAACGGATTAAAGTACGAAAGTGTGATAAGCCTTGGATGACGTCATCAATAAAGTCTGCTATTGGGAGACGCCAAAAAGCCTTACACGAAAGCGGGAAAAATTCAGATATTTATAAATATTGGCGTAACAGAGTCCAATCATGCATTAAAGTTGCACGAAAGATCTACTATATGAGGTCAGTTGAGAAATTAAAAAATTCTAACCCGGCAAGATGGTGGAAAGAAGTGAAAGCCATTGGTGGTCTCTCGTCAAAAAATTCTTGGTATTCTCAGCTATTTTCTGATGATGTTCGGAATTGCGAAGAACTGGCCGAAAATTTTAATAACTTTCTTACTGCCCTTACATCACATTTTGACCCTCTAACTCTCGACGAAATCCAGGAGGGCCTAGAAGTACCAAACCATTACCTCGTTGACGCCCAACAGATCTATATGAAACTTAGTAAAATTAAAACCACAAAATCACCGGGTCCTGACATGTTTCCAAATAAAATCCTGAAAACATTTGCCTTTGAGCTTGCCCCAGTTATCTCAGACATTTTCAACTCATCCATGACACAAGGCACCTTCCCAAAGGCATTGAAGAGATCTATTGTAGTGCCTGTCCCTAAGGTATCACCCCCAAAGAGTATTGAAGACGACCTACGACCAATATCTTTAACATCTCAGATCGCCAAAGTTATGGAGGATTGTACTTTGGACAATTTTTTTCCTGAAGTTGTAAATAAACTTGACACCAAACAATTTGCACTCCCAAAGAAATCAACGACCCACGCTTTGGTCTACCTTTTACATTCAATCTTGGTTGCTCTTGAGAGAGGTTCCTGTACTGCCAGATTGTTCTTTGCAGATTTCAAGAAAGGTTTTGACCTAGTAGACCACAATGTTATTATTAAAGAATTAACCCTGCTTGGTACCCATCCCTCTATAATTCGGTGGATTAAAGCCTTCCTCTGCGATCGCGAACAATGTGTCCGGGTGGGAACTTCTATGTCCTCTTGGAAGAAAACAAATGGTGGCTTGCCACAAGGTACAAAGTTGGGTCCATTATTGTTTGCTGTTCTCATTAATTCCTTACTCAAAAACTGGCCCAGTAGGATCAAGTTTGTGGATGACACCTCAGCCCTAGAGATTATACCACGTTTTTCATCCAGTTTAATGCCATTAGTCGTAAATGAAATCTCGGACTACGCCTTAGAACGTGGAATTGAACTAAATTATAAGAAATGCAAACAAATGTTGATCAACTTTCTTAAATATAAAGGATCTGATGATGAAAACCCGATCTATGTTGCAGGTAAACCGGTGGAAACTGTGTCCTCTTTCAAACTCCTAGGTGTATGGATATCAAATGACTTGTCATGGAATACTCATGTCGACATGGTATTGAAAAAGGCAAATTCTCGCTTATACGCATTGCGTCTGTTAAAAAAGGCTGGTCTTCAAGCATCTGACATCGTCCAAATATATATCTCATTCATCCGATCCAGAATTGAATATGCATCCCCTGTATGGTCGTCAATACCTAAATCATTATCTGACATTCTCGAATCTGTTCAAAAGAGAGCATTGAGAATAGCTTATCCAGATCTGTTATATGATGAAGCCCTTGAAATTTCAAACTTACAGTATCTGAGTACTCGTAGAGACATCTCTTGCAAGAAATTCGTCGAATCTCTGCGACGTGATGTTTCACCCTACAACCCTTTGACCCAAATTATGGAAATTCGTCCCGGGGTAAAAACTCATGATTATGACTTAAGGAATGACAGAACGGCCGAACGACCTTTATGGTCAGAAACCACTGAACGGTTAAAAAACTTCGTGACTAGGAAATATTATTAGCTTTATAGTTAATTAACAGTCCTAACTAACTAAATAAACATTATTTTATATAATATATATATATGTACATTTTAATATAAATTTTTATGCTATATTAGTACTCCATGTAATTCAGTTTTCCTTTAAAAACTGCAAATTGGTTTTAATTAAACAGATTGATTGATTGATTGATTGATTGATTGATACCACCCTGAACCTTAAAACACTACACTGTCGAAGATATATTCAAGCTGTAATTCTACATATTTACACCTTGTCTGACTATCCAATTACTGCGCCGCATGAAAGTTCTATATCCAGACATTGATTTGTGCAAAACCCAGGCAACAGAGGCGTACCTAGCGAAATTTGACTAGTCCTGCTCTAAGATACACACATTCTAGAGGGGTCCAGGGGCATGCTCCCCCGGAAAGCCTGGAATGGCCATTTCCTGCGATTTCACGGCGAAATACTCCAAAGGGAACATCAAAAAATTGTGTGATTAATTAAAGGAAAAGTTTTGATAATTTTTTTTAGAAAAAGATGTTTGTAACTTTTTGAAATCCATGCATTTTTTTATCATATTTCACTATATATTTTTCAACTTAACTGTAAATGCAGCTAAATATATAGTAAAGTCACGAAACAGGAAAATATCATGTACGATACGCGTCTGTAATATGATCTTTCGCTTGAAGATAATTATTATAATAACGATTTCAATCATGTCAACACATAATCGGCAATTGCCTAACTAGTTTACCCACAGGGTAGTGAATGCTGTCTTGGTATAGCATTATTCCCAAATCTTTAATATTTTAAAGAATAAGAGTAAGAAATATTTGTAATCACCATTCCCCAATTAACCAAAATTTTGATCTCAACAAGCCTGGCCAAAATTCCATCATAGCATGAAAGAGCATCGCAAAATTAGTAATATTCCAAAGTTTCGTTGCGAAATGTTGTAAAATGCGGATAATATAGCCTTGCGAAATTTTCAATTTTCAGTCATTTTAGATTACAAACGGGAAATAGTTACCACTTTTCCAAAATTTTGATCTTAACTAGCCTAAACAAAAATTTCATCACAACTTGAAAGAGCATCACAAAATTAGTAAAAATTAGTATTGTAATTTGTATTACGCACAGAAGTGGTGACCATCTCCCGTTTGTAATCTAAAATGACTGAAAATTGCAAAGTCTAGATTTGTTGAGTTCAAAATCGGAGAATGGTCCGTTGGAATCATCCATAATTTATACACTTGAATGTGCCGTATGATAACTCGGCGCTCGAAGTTTCGTATCGAAAGAGGAACAGCCGAACAGGTACGATGGCTAACAAGAATGAGTGTACTTATCAACTTATCTAACGCGAGGAAAAGATTAAAATGGCAGGTATGGCTGTGATATCTAGTATATAAAATTGTATAGACAATTTGCCTACAAATACGGTGCTAGGTCAAAACGGCCCCGCTTCAATAATCATATATTTAGACCAGGGGTTAAAGGGCAATGACAATGACATGCAGGTGACATTTAACATGTGCGAGTGTGCGTCTCACCACAGGTCTCACTAAATTTGCGTGTTTAATAATGTTTATCAAAGAAGGCAAAAATATATACAAGACAACCTCACATGTGGAATCTGTTCACTTACGCATTGCGTTGTGATGCACTACAAGTACAAATACAAATGACAAAGCATTTTTAAAGGCTTTAAATCCTAAAACATAATTAAATCATACGGCACATTCAAGATTTTAATATCGTATTTCAGCCGCGTTTATACTGCTTGGCGCGCATTCGCTGCGTTATATTAATTTATATACCTATGTTATATACACATATTTATTACTAAAGGTACATTCGTCGCCTTCTGCGATAAAGCGCTCTTCGTTTTTTAGCATCGCGAAAACGTTGAAACATAAAATGAAATAAAAGCAAAGAATCTCTGTCCATTTTAAGTCTATATGTATTTATATAACGAAGAATTGCGTAATGTAAATTTACCAAAAACCAAAGACACTTTATCTGTCATTACAATCTTAAGCAAGCATAAGTACTTTTTCAGTGTGACCGCGACATGCTTGCTTAACATTCTAGCACTTGCTTGAATGACGTCACAAGCAAGCACGACCTATATTTGACTAAAACTAATATCATTAGAAATAAGGAGATTTTGTTTCTCAGAATCGAATGGTAGTAATATTGTCTTCATAGCATGCACCGAACCGGATATATGAACCTTGCAAAGTCATAGACTTCTACGTTAGTAGGAAGCTTATTAATTTAAAGATGCGCCAAATCTGAGACATGGCGTGACTAAAAAACAATCGCTAAATCGCTAATATAAATGGGAGACTAGTTTTACTTTGTTTTTCTCGTATCCCTGACTTTGTTTACCAACAACAGTTTTTATTCGTGAAGTGAAACTGTGATAATAGCGGCAGTTTTTCGTCACGTCCGCGTCGCAGATTTAGTAATATTAATGATACCACTAGAGACCTGACGAGATGCTACAGATCAGCATCTTCCAATGCAACATATTAACCAGGTATATAATTCGCTTCGGAATCATCGAACTGATTCTGTTGACATGATACTTTATAGAACTTAGAATATAAAAAGTTAAACACTTCAGCGATTAAAACCTTCGAACTGATTAAAACAGATAACTTAACAGGCATCAAGATTCGACTCACTTGCGTGACGTCAGAATAGATGCTAGTGACAGACTTCTGTCGCCGACGGCCATTAGCCAAAAATATCATCTGATGCTCGATATATGCGATTGCAAAAGGAACAGGGAATTTGTGAGCAGTCACACGGGTCACACGGTCACATTCGCTATGTGCGAAAATTACTTCCGGGGAAACGCTGCAATATTATTTACAATAGGAATCTACGCGAAAACCTAGGTGAATTTTGGCAAAATACACTTCGGGAACTTTTACTAAGTTGATCGCTACTCCATATATACAAGATGTCAGTTTAATGTTTTTAAAACGAAAATTATCCAGATTGCTCTGAAATATGTGCATTTGCATTCATTCTAAGTTGTCCATGACCAATTGGGAATAGTAATCCGCTGTCCAAAAGGCAGAATAATTAAGATACACTTTTAAGTTTTATACAATTATAGTCGAGAATAGTTTATAGGAAAGTAAGCAATTTAATTTGTTTTGTGCATGACTTTGTCATTTATGTTTGATATTGATCGACCAGAAGCCCGGTCGAAAGGGTGAGAGTGCATGAGAGATGACAAAGATGTGATGATATAGTGAGATAGTTGGGAGTAACGCGATCTTGGTCAGGCTGGTTAGCTGTTGTTAATGCTTTCCCAACAACACTATCATGTATTCTATATTTAAGTAAGTTAAAACATGTAGTTGGAATATTCTTCAAAACGTTATTTTGTTCATCTAGAGCTTGAAATGCCCCCCCCCCCCTGGCCCTGTAACAATTCTTATTCATAACTGTGTACCAACTATCATCAACCCTCATTCTTGTTTGACAGGGGCAAAAGCCTTTTCAAAATTAATACATGTTTTTGTGCGTTTCTTAATATAAAAGCTTTTGCAGAGTGAATTTGCTTTTATAGTACAGTTTAATTTTGATTTAATTAAAACAAAAAATATGACAACTTTGAAATATAACAAGAGTCGCGCTGGGACTATGGAAATATGCAATCAAGAAAAGCGCGTTTGTTTTCCGAAAATATTGATTCTTGAATGTTGCCTGGCTGTTAGCGCTAGTAGTTAATACATTAGTACAACCATGTCGCAATGTTGTTTTAACTTTTAATATAGTCATATAGTATAGTATATAATCTGTGATATAATACATTGAATAGTATGTGTTAAAATAAGCTCGATAAACCGATAAACACAGATTAGATCGGCTGGTGTTATGTTACCAGCAGGCCAAGTTAGAACTAAGCTGACCTAGACTACCTAGTTCGTGCGTCGAATACTGGAAGGCAAGAATATTCTTCGCCTCAAAACTAGACGCATTATAACTTCTATCTAATACAATAATGCCTCGTGAGAGGAGAGGTATTTCGCATGATTACCAAGCGAACATGGATATATATGCATGGGTTAATGACCTGTGTCTGAGTTCAATATATTAGGCCAAGTAACAGAAATTAGTAGTTTCTCGTCCGAATTTTGAAAAAAAAGGAGGACGCGGGCGCTTTTATTTTTCATTTTTTATTTATTTTTTCCCAAAAATTTATACCAATTTAACGACATGCCATATTAAACCGAATATGAATATTTGTAGTACACAGCTCTATTAAAAATGCTACTTTTCTTTTGGGACGAAGGTACGCTTAATTCTGTTCTTGACAATGTTCCCAGTTCTTTACATCCACCACATATTGGGTACGTTTCAGGAGTTGACGTCAGATCATGTTCGCTTCCACAGTAGTAACATAAAGGATCTGAAAACGTGACGTAGTATGGAGTTTCCATAGGTGAGGCACAAGTAAGCTTGTCATTCACGTAAACATGCTCAAAGATTCCACCCTGGTAGTCTTCGATATCTTGAAAGCAAGATCCACAAGAGTACGCGATGTTGTCCAGCTCGCTTTCCAGCTCACGTTTTTGATTCTTCTTTAGCACATGGCTTGCGTAACACACTCTCCACTTCAAACAGTCATCACACTGGATAAAGAAAACAAATTTAAATAGATTATACAAGTTAATTGCACTGATATTTTAGAACACCGGTTCTCTACTCTAACGACAGCAAATAGGTTTAACATTAGTCCAAATTTACCTGAATAACAGTCTTTGCATTGTTGGACTTATGGGAGGATGGTGAAAAAGGCATCCGATGACGGGCAGCAGCTTTCAGCTGGTTAGACGGTACGTGCTTCTCTTCATTGCTATCATCATCTTTTCCATACAATTCCTAAAACACAAGTACAACGTTTATAAAATACACATCTTTCAGTTTTTGTAGTAGATGCAGTGAGTGGTGCAATTTCATTTGAGCATACCTGAAATGATTTGTAATGATCTCTATGTGGAATCGGATAAGGTAAGTGGTGGAGCTTGTCAAACAAATCAGGTTGGGTTCTGGGAATTCTTCAAGCACAATTCTCTTCTTTGCACTTTTTTATGCTAAATTGATAGTGGCCTTTCCGAGTATGACTATCCATGAATTTTTTTAGCTTCTTTGAAATCTTGCAAGGCTTGGACGTATCTATTAGCACATCTAAATTGAAGCCTGGGTCTATCTTGTGAAGTTGTGAAGCCGTCTTTGTGATGCCCTCTTTAGTGGCAGCAGTAAACACTTGGAGTTTTTCCCCTTGAGTTGGCATCTCTGAAACTGAGAACTGAGAAGGATCTTGGGCTGTTCAAGCGAGTCAGATATTTCATGCTGAGCACTTGGATTTTTTTCTGCTACTTTCCTAATTTTTTTTCAAATTGTTAGCAGATTTCAGTGCGCCCTCCTGTGTTTCTGTTTCTGTCCTCATGACACCCACGCCTTGTAAAGCTAAATTGAGATTAGACATGACTCGCTCTGCAGGATTCTTCCATGAGTGTTGTGGAGGTGTCTGCACCAGTATAAGCATGTCTAAATCTCGCTCCAGAAAGTATGCCACTTGACTAAGTTGCGTTCTAAGAAAACGTAAGTTGTGATCGGATCCACTGTCGTGATAGTGACATTCTACTGGTTTGTCCTGATCTGACGAATTCAGGCAAGTATTCAATTCACATGCATGTCAAAGAGCAGATGAAGGTTCAAAGACATTGTCTTTGAGACCAACATACACTTGGCCATCATAGAAACTTCCATCTATGGAATCCGGGATCTCTACAACTAGTGAGACGGAAGGAGATAATGAAAACTTGGTAAAGTCATGGTCACCAACTTCGAAAGACTGGTTCAAGCCGACAATGACACGCTTGCCCCGCTCCACAGCAGCTACTGGAAAGCCAGGCTCCCCTACTTTGATGGTATGCTTGTCATCTTTGCACACAAGGCTTGCAATATCCTGGAACTGCACACAAAATTCTTTCTGGTATCTAAATACAGCTGATGCATAGTGGGCATCTACATGACTCTTTCTAAACTGGCGTGCTGCAACAACCATTTTGACTTTCAGTCGTCCTGTGTGTCTTTTGCTAGCTGCAGATGCCTTACTTGGCCAGAACTGCAACCGGAGCCATTGAATGGATGGTATTGGTGTTCCTTCAGGGCACTGTTCCTTCACCTGTTCATGCAAGTCTCGAGCATTCATTGCCATAGGCAGATGAACCACACTTTCCCCATTCTCAGTGACATTATCATGTCGTCTATCATCTACTGCCGTCTCTACCTTCCTTTTATATAATCCTGGCACTTCTGCAGGAAAAGTGGATAGTCTTCCGGTCGTCCAGTGTTGTTTACTCTCAAGTCCCACAAGATGTCAGGATCCTCGTGATCCAGTACCTCTTGTATCCGACTGTCAACTTCCTTCTCGGACAAGTTCCGTGCAGCCGCAGAATCCCCAGTTAATCGGCGGTATGCTTTACGAAGGAATGCACTCTTAACTCCAGTTACTTTTCCAAAGCAAGAAAGGAAGTCTCTCTTCATAGCCCTACTATGGTAGACAGGAAATTGTGATTTCAATTTGTCTTTGGTCTGATCGTTTTTCTGCTGTCGAACACTTTCATTGTCAGCTACTTCTAGCTTCCACACGAAATGGAGATGGTTGTGCAATGCTGTATAAGAGTATCTAATACACTTGATAGGGAAGACCAGGCCAGTCATGTATTCAAATCTCCTTCTCCTATCGGCTGGAGCAAAGTCGTTAATAAAAATGGCTTCGTAGGAATCTGCATTTTGGAGTGCTTGGTGCAGGCTTTGATATTTAGCTCTCTTTGTAGGTGTAATGTTCATTGCTTGATACACCTGCCATTCATCAACATCTGTGCGAGGAACTTTCCTAGCTTGAGACGTTTCAGTTGCTGCCAATTGTTCATCCAGGTAGTTGGCATATTTCCTCAGATTATCAGCTAGTCTAAGCAAAGCATTGTACACTCCTAGTGATAAGCAAATGAGGAAATTTAATATGAATGAGTGTCTATTAATAATGATGCATGTGTATATGTATTTAATAATTTATATATCATGGAATGACCAAAATTACACACACCTTTAATATATTTGCCTTTAATATTAATTTAATATGAAGAGATATAAATGTTGATATACTATTATCATTATATTAAAATGATAATATTTTTGACACGTTTTTGACGATATTAAAATTCTGTCTATATGCATATATTAAAATATTTAAAAGCGGAAAATATTTTAAATATGTTAATATTTTCATTATGTATTAAAAAATGAAGTCATTTCTAATATATATTTATAAAATACATGCACTTGAATGTTGTGCTATATTCATGTTTATAAAAACAACGAGATTTAGTACATAGTCAGTCACTTACTTGAACCGTTTGATATTTCTCATCTATTGCAACTCCTGTACCATCAAATTCTCCACTTGCAAAATCGTTGAAAATATCTGACAAACTCTGGTCTCCATCCTTAGTAGAACGTGCTTACCAATGTTTAAGGACTTTTTTGGACGTGCCATTAGGGTCCTTATGCAAGCACATATGAAAACCATTTTTATACTGTATGATATAATGATATGAATGCAACGCTTCGATTAATATTATGGTAAATATAAAAATATGGCGCCAAACACCATTGGCGCTAAAGATGCCGAGCATCTCCGAACAAGATTCCGAGCATCTCCGAACGGTAACCGAAGGTGTCCGACAGTTTCCGAAAGGCCGAAAAATAATTAAAAATAAAAGAAATATTCACGCGGCAGCAAAAAAGCATGCGCGCGGGGACGAGAAACTACTAATTTCTTTTACTTGGCCTTAAAGCGAGATTTCAATTTTCAAAAGCATATATTTGGAAAATCACATTTCACACAATGAGCTTTGAAGCAATTCTTGTTTGAAAAAATGAGAAGAATTGATTTACTATGGAAAATCGTTAAATATAGGGCAAGTTCACTTGTTTAATGTTTATGACAAGATGATTATCAATTTTGTTGCTTTAATAATTTATTGTGTAAAACATGCACTGCTGTTTTCCTTTCCAAAGAAGCTGTAAGTTTCCTAAATTACCCTGTTTAATTTAAGAAAAAAGGTAAATGTTTAAAAGGAGCGCAAATTAATTTGAAGACCTAAATGAAATTATTCAACAATTTGAAGTAAAAACTGTTTATCGGCAAAAGCAGTTTGTGTGTGTGTGTGTGTGCGTGTGCGTGTGTGTGCGTGTGTGTGTGTGGTTTCTTTGATGCATGATATTCGGTTTGAATTCAATTATTCAGGAGGTCAATTTTGGTTTCTTCAGTGGTTATCTTTAGCCAATCCAGTTTTGCCGACTGAGATAACAATTTGCAGATTAGCTGACGAGTGGGGGAGGGAGGGGTGTTCCACCCCACACACCCCTGTAGTGCCACCCCTGGTGGTTGTGTTTAATAAGTAAAGCTTCAAGGAAGGCAAGAATGTTGTAACTGTTGGATTTAGTAATGTGCAGATCTCTGAAGTTTCTGAAAACCAAATTTTCAATAGGAGTCGGATGGTCTTTAGTAGGAAATGTGAGGTCGTTGAGTTAGTATATTGGTCCTGTAAGTTGGCTGGGTATTGTGCTTGTTCACACTCTGTGAAATGTTTACATACTACACTTGTTGAAAGCCTTGTTGCATGTTCTTTTAAACGCACAGATAAACATGTCTTAATCATACCGATATATGTTTGACCGCAACCTGGACATGAAACCTCATAAACAAGATTACTGTGAGATAAAATTGGAAGTTTAGTGTCATAAATACTACAATAAATTTTATCGGCTTAGAAAGAAATCTCTGTATTTTAGAAGTGCAAGATTTAATGATCCTGTCACCGCGATTTCTGAGATAAGGCAGTCTAATCCAAACTTTAGATACATTGTCTTCAATTTGTGAATCAATATTAGGCATGGAATAGTTGTCATATTTGAGTTTAAGCTTTTTAATAAAAAAGATTGTTGGGATAGCCATTCCAAGACATAAACGATTTGATCATTTTAACTTGTTTATCAAATAATTCCTTAGTGCTACAAATCATGTAAGCATGATGGAAAAATGATGGAAAAATGATTTGACCCAGGCACTTTTACGTAAGAAAGGTTCAAAACTCAAACAATTTTCTTAAATTGTTGGCTGGCTGTGGGTTTTTTTTAACCATTCTGCATCTGGATACATTGGGCAAAATGCCATTATTGGCATTTCTTGTATTTCGGATAACTGTTCATATTGACACATTGATATGATTGCTTAGAATACACTTACAAAATAAACTAAGTCTAAACATTTGTACCAATTGCAGACTGGGAGAATGCTGCAAAATAGCCTTTGGTCATTCCTTGTATGCAGTGATTGTATGAATTTGCTTGAGAGATTCAGTAATAAAGGTCACAGAGTTAGATAAAGAATGTATAGCCCTCATTATTAGAAGTCTGGTTAGATCTTATACCCTCGATATTAGATGAAATAACTGAGTTTTTACATGATGAAGCATTTAAGATGACTGGTTCCATGTTATATATACTAAAACTGTCTGTACTGGTAGGTAGTACCAATGTAGAAATGCTGTGCTGAGTGGTTATATTACTACCTTCAAACACTCATTAATAATTCATAAGCTTATTGACGAATCATGTCAACCATAATATGTCACATGCAGTGGCTTTAAACCTGATAAAACACTCCTAATTAGTATTCTTTATATAAAGAATACTAATAAGGCAGTATCTATTGTAGTTGTGTCCTCATTAGTATTTTTTATATAAAGAATATATCTATTGAATTTGTAGTGTGTTTGAAGCCGTTTAATAAATTCGCAGGTTGTGTTTTATTAGGTCTAAAGCCACTCTCGCTGCACGCTCGTGTCTTTAAACCTAATAAAACACTCCTGCTCATTTATTAAACAGTAAGCAGAAACTCAATGTTTTTGCGAGCGAAGGCCCTAGTCTGTTTTCAGACTTATGCTCTCGATTATAGAATCAAAACGTTTAATGCTTGAGTTACATAATCTGCCTGCTCACCCTCCATGCCCAGCACATAATTGGTTTTCCTCCATGAAATAGCAATATATAGTGGCCGAGAATTGCCATAACGAATTATATATATTTTAATTTTTAAACTAAAAGTAAAACTAGTAATAGTTGACACTACATCTGCCCCCATTTGGTACCATCATTTCTTCTTACCACACTAGACACAGCTATCTCCTTTGCACCAAGTTTCACTTTGTTTATCAGGATTTCCATACTTGTTGCCACTTCTTCTGGTTCTTGGCAAACAAAGGGTCATTCGTTCCCACACGAAGGATGACTGTGTGAAATCCATGATTTCCATCTCTTTCCAATTTCTCACTGATCTGCTTCACATTTGTTGATCTGCTGTCACACATGATAGGCATTTTAAAACAAACAAGAAATGCATGATTTGAAATGCATATTAGTAGTTTGATACACACTTGGTCAAAGAAAACAAAAAATACCAAATGTGTATTCCTTCTTTTTCACTAAAACCCATTCAGAGATATATTATTAATAAGTTTCAATGGGCACTTTCAATCAGTTTTATAATATAAAAGGTGTACAAAAAAAGATCTTTATAAATTAGTCCATTGTTATAATTTCAATGCATGAACACTATGCCTTTAAGGCACAGGTAATTTCATTTAATTTAATGCATGGAAAATTATTTAAAAGAGTTTCCATCTCATCCAACATGTCAACATGTGATTGATACTTGCTCATTAATTTAATATAGCGCTTAAAGCCATGAAATATAAAACCTTATCATTTATTTTACATCTATCGAAATATCAAGCACTGTGTCCTTCGACATGGCCGCATTTTTCTCAACACAAGGTGCTGTTTCCTTGTGCATACAACAAAGATATTGTAATGTATGCACATATAGTTGTCAATATTTTACGCATCTGTGCACTTAGCATGGTTCAGGCATTGAAATTATAACTATTATGACAACCTCTAAAGGCGGATTTCCATTCAGTGCAAAATGTTGCGCGATCGACATTGTTAAATTTTCAAATCGACCGATCGCAAAAAAAAGTAGAATCGCTTTCTACTTTTGCGATCGCACTTTAAGAATTTGGATCAAACAAAGATGGCTGACAGTGATAGGAGTGAACTCTGTGGTGAACAAAATGTGTTTTCCCTTGGAAATATCGAGCCAGTTGACATCCATAATGGCTTTAATCAAAATCAAGACCTTCAGATTGAAAATGATACAACTCCTCAAGTTAGAAATGACAATCCAATCCAGATTATCAAGTATAATGTTGAGATATTTATTGGCCAAGTACAAGAAGAACCATGTTTATGGGACATTCAACATGTCACTCTACAATATTAACTCTTTCCCGACAGGTCCCTTATTAAACAAATCACTCATGATTTACTCATTTTTGCGGTTCATATCTTCAGTTCGGTAAATGCTACGTGGACCAAAATACCACCATTCGATTCAGTGTAACGATAGCTATTCATTCCTATCGATAGATTTAGTGAATGGCAACATTATAGCGATTTATGAGCTTTGAAAGTCAAACGAGCTCGTATATGGTCAAATTACGCAATATTACTGACAAATTATAAACATAAACATACCTTTCGCCGAATATAACTTTGTTCCATTGAGACGTATGCTCATTCTGATCGTCTTGGTGGATTAAGAAGTTGAAAATAACACGTATAGTGTTATTTTCAAGCTTCTATCTTTAAAATTCGACATTTAGTGCCGAATTTTGTATTTCTGCTCCGAATATGCGTTAATCCCAACCGGAAATACGACGAAAACCCGTCAAAACAATGCTACGCTTGCATCGCATGACTCTGGAAATGCCAGAAATGGATTCTACAGGTCAAAGTGCACACATACGCGTGAGTTTTACGTCATCCCGGCTAAAGGGAGCTCCTTATTGGCCAAGTATTACGTAATACAAGCGCGTGCGAGTAAAACCCGATACTTTAAAAATTCAAAATAAATATTTCTAGTCGGCGTATACATACGAAACTTTCTACACGAAAGCGCTTGAATACAAAGAGTATTTTACACATATCCTTTCAGGAAATGACAAAGTTTAGAATATATTCAACTTTTTCTCATTTTCTCCTTTGAATGTTTGGCGAAGCAGTGAGTATAAAATATATGATTGTTTCGGTTTGTGTAATGTTTTGACGGCACTTGACCCCCTGTTCGAAAGGTTATATTGTGAGGATTTCAATGGTGGCATTTATTTAAAAGGGGGGTAAATACTCGCCGAGATATTTATATTAGAAAAATTGAATTTGAAATGTAATACGAGACAGGTTGTCGAGAAAGAGTTAAGTAAAAACTATTGTTCCTTTTCAGGATTTATGGATTTATATTTATAACAAAAATAAAAATTATTAATACTTATATTGGTTTTATGCATCAATCAACATCAGCAATACTCATTTCCATTGGACTAGCCCCAGGTATTGGAAGCTTTATTTCTGGGCCATGGCAATTAAATGCCTAATCCCAAGGAATTCCACCCAATTAAATGTCGAGGGATTCACATTAAACTCTTAGGATTTCCAGGCTGAAATTTCTTAAACCTGGAGATTTCCAGAGTGAAAATTCTTAAAACCTGAGGACTTCCAGTCTTACATTTTTAAACCCCGAGGATTTCCAATGTTCTCAACAGGGGGGGGGGGGTACAGACATTAAATGACAATCTACTTGTCAGTCATACTTTGACCCTAGGTTATGGTGGGGTATTGATTTAAATATTACCGGTATGTCTACCTTGGTGCATTTAATACATTCAACAGAGGCGTGATTCAACATAGTAAATACTAAAGTAGCTGTAGCATGCCTATGGGTGCAGAGCCAGCTATTAGTTAGGGGCTGTTCATATGAGCCGGGCTGGCCCTGCTAGCCAGCTTGGCTTTCCTTGCCGGGCTGGCTTTTCATTTGCTTTATATGAGCTGGGCTAGCCCGGCAATTGGTCTGGCAATTTATAACTGGCGCACTTTGAACATAGCAGGAACATGAACAAGAATCTAGCATGGGCTGTAACAAATTTTCAGCCGCGCTGGCTCAGTTGTTGCATTCACATGAGTCCGGCAATGCTGGGATCCCAGCTAGCCGGGCCATATGAACTCAATTTTTAAAATGTATGAAAACACTATATTAGGCGGGATCTTGGCACTTTCAAACCAGCCAGGCCAGCCCGACAGAGCCGTGCTCATATGAACAGCCCCTTAGAGTAAAATAAAGCGTAATTTACTTCACTAAAAAATTTAACCAATATATTATACAATAAACATTCATGTCAGAAAATATATGAGCTCAGTCATCTGTCTTCTAGCTGGATGGCTGTCACACAAAATTTTAACACTGTCAAAATAACCCCTCAGCGGGCCTGCTGCTGTTGCCAGATATTAGATAGTAATCACCGGGAACCAGGACATCCCTAATTAGAAGACATTCATTTGACATGTTTCTTTTTCCTGGTAAACTGTACACATGTATTTTACACCAGTGTGGTTCTTTTATGCTTTAGTTGAGTTCCTCAAGGCTCAGTGGAAGAACCTTAAGAAAACTACAAGAGATGTCTTGATAAAAGAAACCGCATTACGAAATCTGGTGCTGGTGCACATTCCTTGCCAACTTGCAAATATTTTCAAAATCTTGCCCGACCATCATTGCTCTGCCTTGGATGAATCAATTATAAGAAATTGTATCCAGCAACAAGTTTCGACGCGTAATACAAGCACTGGCCCACAGCAACAGATTTCTAGGCCAAGTGCAAGCTTGCACCAAAAGCACAGGCCCACAGCCACAGATTTCTAGACCAAATACAAGTGACTGTATCTTTTACGGCAAGCAGAACACCACCGCCCCTGTTTACCAGTTTGACGATCTCGCCGAAATAGCTTGTATCCAACAGGCAAGATTTCATCATCAAGCACATTGAGAGTGAGCCAAGTCTCCACCAAAGCAATCACATCTACACTGTTGCCATAAACAATGTCATGTAGATAAGAAAGCTTATTCACAACGCAGTTAGTTGTAGGGTTACGATGATTCGCCTTCAGACTTCTGACGTTCTGATACAGAACATTAAACGAAGAACGGGATCTAGGATTGGCAAGTCCTCGCACATTAGGTGATGATGTAGAAATGCTGCAGTCAGGACCGGGATTAGCAGAAATGTCATTAGATAAAGATATAAGTATCAGGGAAATGGAAAAGTTCATGGCAATATGAAGTCCACAGGTTAGTTTTATATCTGAGGAGAGAGGCTTGGTGGAGTTTGAGCGACGAGTAATACGTGAATGTGAATATTCATTCATATTGGGATTTGCCAATAACTGAGAAACATACAAAGTTTCACAGTTGAGATACGCTGGTGTAGAGTGGGACAAGTCTCTAGTAAAACTTGACAAGTATACGAAAATATGCAAAATAACGATTAAGTTACGCGGAGACAACGTTAATGCGACAAACGCCATAGTAGATCATGCGATAAATATCAGGGGAAATCCCGCAGCAGTTGAAACGTTGAAATTATAGAAGACCAAAGTCTCGGGTTACGATGGCCAAGGGCGAAGTTCAAACAAAGACGCTCTTGCAACAATAAACAATCATGAATAATTAAAAAAGCGTTAAATATGGTGATCACAAAATCAATTCTTGTATCCCAAATAACTGAACAATATAATAGAGTGACACGATCGGCGATTCTATGGCAGAAAATTCACTTTAAACGGCTGACAGATCACTTTAAACGGCTGACAGACGATTACAAGTTAACATAGTTACCATGACAAACGACGCTTGATATATTATAGCTGGCCAATACAATTAATTTCCAACCGTCAAAAAGATAAAATAGATGTAGTTTAAATTCTCTATATCAAACCGACACCAAAACATGACAGGAGTTCAAAACAAATCCAATAAACGGTTGACGAGATAATGCCAACAACACAAAATTCAGGATTTGTAGCGACAACTGACGAGCAAGACGAATAATCCAAAATAAACGAACAAATCCAACGATAAACTGAACAATAACTATATCCACTGAATCACTGGGACTTTATACTCAGTTTAACACCATGTTTGATTGAATATGAAAAAGAAAGAGGTTGTAAAGGATCAGAAAAAGCGCACACATTAGCGGCGTGACCTCACGTGATGTATGGTTGTTTTTTTGTTTTTTTTTTTTGTTTTTTTTTGGTTTTTTTTTATAGTTTTTGTAAAAGTATCAATTGATTTCTATCATTTGTTAAAGTATCAATTGATTAAAGTGATGCTTAACAGTTAATCAAATGCAGTTTAATATAGATCGAAGGGATCAGTAGTTGCTGTAACTGCATTATTTTGCCAGATTACAGCACCTTCAGGTGAGTTAAAGTAATCTTTATAATCATCTCTCACTTGTTGAGCAGATCTTGAAGAATTATTTGATCCTCTTGCATTTCTCTGAAGCCTTGACAAGCAAGTTGTTCCAACCTCCTGTCTCCATTGTCCAGGGATAATTCTTCCCCTTGTGCCATTTTGATCAGGAAAGTTTCTGGGGCAGTAATTGTACATATCCTGACTGCGCTGGGTAATTATTAAGAAATTGTGCAAAGCTATTGTAGCCTTGACAACGTTCCTCGCTATGTCAACGCTGGCAATTATGGGCCTTCTGTATACTCGAAACCTGGTTGCCATGATTCCAAACGTGTTTTCAATTACTCTCTGTGCCCTGCATACTCTGTAGTTGTAGATTCTCTGTGATAATTCTGAGATGCCACCAGGATAGGGCTTAAGCATGTATGTTTTTAATGAAAACGCATCGTCTGCTGCAAATACGTAAGGGTATTCCTTTGTTGAACCAGAGTTTTCTATAATGTGCGGAGTTGGAATATCAAGAAGATTTTTGTCAATAGCATACCCGATCTTGCTGTTCGCTCTGTCGACCATTGTCACCAACGTCTACTAAGTTATATTCATAGTTCGCATTGCATACTGCTAGCAATACAATACTCTGACCCAGACCATGGTGGAGCTTGGATAACGATGTGCCTTCCCTCAATAGCCCCAAGGCAGTTAGGAAAATTCCATTTTTGATGGAATTTGTTGGCAATCTCCAACCAACTCGGGTGGTGGGTTGGTGCCTCTATAAATTATCGTTTTTGCAAATTATCCCAAATAACTTTGCTTGTATGTTTAATCACTCTACTCACAACTGATGGACTCGTACGGTAGCACGTTGCCAGTGTGGTTTGGGAATCACCAGTGGAAAGGTAATGCAAGGTGACACATAATCTTTCTTCTGGAGATGCTACAGAATGTCTAAGCAAAGATTTAACTAAAGATGGAGCAACCCACAGCAACAGAAGCTCAAATTTTTCTGGACTCATACGAAATGTCTTAAAAAAAAAGTACTCTTGATCAAAAATCGCAAGTTCTCGAACAACTTTGTAGTGTACCGCGAACGCAATCGTAAAAATAAACATCAACAGTAGTTTTCTTTTATTAAGCCACCTACGAAATGCAATCCTTCTGTTGATGGCAGCCTAGCCCGCGTGCAGGCCCAAGGGAACTGATAGTGGGCCTCCAAGCAAGGCCCGGTATTTTTTTGTAAAACGCCCCTTTTCATAACACGCCCCATTCGCGCGTCAATTGTCAAAAAAGAACCAATGACAGCACCCAAATATTGACAAACAAACTCACATTAAAATGTTGCGGGGTTTTCTCTGCTTATTCAGAATATAAACAATGTGTAAATGGCTGCGTTTTAACTCCAAAAAAGCAAGCAACACAGTCAGTAATTGCCAAATTTGCAAGTGCTCATTTTCAACTAAAATCGTAACAGAAAACCAGCCTCAAACTTCAAATCGTGAGGGTGCGACTACATTAGCATTCACTGTCGCCATTTTTATAAATAAATGGTCTCCGTATCAGATCGTGTGTGCAATTCTTGTTGGCGGCGGAAAGTACGAAATTTATTTCAGTTATTTCATTTAGTAAAGAACTCTACAAAAGAAGAGAGCGTTCAGAGTCCAGATCGTTTCGTTTCAAACGGCAATTTAATACCGTCTTCTGTTTCGCTCTCTCAGCGAAGCCGTTGTAAATCGCAAAGTGTTTCGAATAGGCTTACATGCAACTGCATCTCAACATCAACCAAAAGATCACTTTCTTGAGGTACATATAACGTATCAACTCTGTTTGAAATTAATGAAACTCAAGTGTAAAGGTTACTATAGTTTACCCCAGTCGTAATGTTGCTATTCCAACACCTCACGACAAGCAATCCCCATTGACATAACGGCAAAAACATCTCTTCCTTCAAGTAAACTATAAACAGTCTGTTCTTGTTCCATTTGTAATCGAAAAAAGTGATCAATTTTCGAATTTTAAGCTTATCGAGAGAATATCGAGAGCCTTTGTGATGAATCACTGACCTAATTATAGAATCCAACAGCAAACAACCAATCAGAATGCCGCGTTCGTGGGCGAACGCGGAAAGTACAAAATACCGGGCCTTGCTTGCAGGCCCACTATCAAGTTCCCTTGAGCCTGCTCCCTTGGGCCTGCACGCGGGCTAAATGAAAAACCACTTGATATTTTTACGATCTCTGAATACGTAACGACATAGTTCATTGTGACGCTACTTACACACACGTATAAGCGCGTGTAAGTGATATGAAATGATACTGTGATGACGTCATGGGTGGTGTTTAGTGCACCACTCGCACCACCCAAAGTAGAACCCCTCTTCCCTATACTACTGCAATATGATGTACGTGATGGTCCGTTATTGAAAATGTGCGTGGCATACTGATAGCATTGTCATTCTACAGTACTGTATTACATGTATTGGGGTACTTAACATCGACGCATTTGTCTTCTCAGTGTCACTAAGGAGCAAGATAAAGTGGTCTCTTTGGAGTATCTTTGCTTGGAAAAACTAAACTAGAATTTCGTCCAAAAATGTCATTTAGTGCCTTTTTTTCACAAGCACACTATTTCAACCATGGTTTGGTTTCTGCGATGTTTAAATTGCAGTCTCCAAATTCCCACCGAGTCAACTGACTCGATTGACTCAAAGCTAGTTACGGGCCTGAAAATGATGTTCAAATTCGGAAATTGTTAACTTAACATCATTTTCTCACTTTGATATATTGACCACCTACTGCAAGTAGTTCTTAGGGAAATTGCACTAGGAGGAGGATCAAAATTGCCGACTGGAGGGGCTAGTAAGAGGGCTGGGGGAGACATGTTTCCCCTCAGCCAGTGTATATGTCAAAAGACGCCTTGAGTTTGCCACAACTTTCTACGAATAGGAATTCAATAGTTATTCGCAATTTTGCGAACAAAGCACAAGAATGATATAGCATAAATTATCATGCATAATGTTTTCAAGTGACGTGAATAAGCCCTACGGGAACCTGGTTGCTATAAATAAGGAGAATATCACTGTATTCCCACTTTTAATTCGACCAAGCCTTAGGGAAAGATAGCGGCAGCGAAACCACCGACCCGATAATTGAAAATTCGTGGTGACCCCAGATCACCCGACGCACGCGCATCTGAGTACCTCAGCGCCCGATCAATGCTCCCATACTTAAAACAAAGGGAGTGCAAGTGAGGCAATTTACATATTGTTCTTTTCAACCAGACTCAAAATCAGAACCGTACGCAGCGGGGGGCTTCTATCAATGCCTAATGTTGCTTCTCGCTAAGATTAACTGTGGTTGCTTCATGCCGAGCAGGTCGAGCTTGCTTCATTGCAGAATACCACAAGCAGAAAAACATTCCTTACCAAATACTGATATAAAAAAGGCAATATCATGATGCATGAACTGGAACCTTCAGATTTATGGCTAGTTATACGTCGCGCTACAATCTGTTATGGCACGCCCGACTCTCCTGGCAAGACTCGGATATCCATCTTAGTAAACTTTCATTTCGTGGTTTATTTATATTAAGAAGAAGCAAAGCCTGCCTTCCAATACCGTTTTCCTTGTTTTGGAAGCCATTGAGATTTTATAGTAGAACTTTTTATTGACATTTACGGCACACCTCTAACGGCAAATAACAAATCGCATTTGAAGATAAGTTCTACAAGTTTTCGAGAGGTAAGTATCGTTCATGCTTCGATTTTAACCATTCACAAATTGCCCTGAATTCAAACAGCTAACAGTGACCTCAAACTTGCCCATTTGCAGTCTACCGTAAACATCACTCCTAAGGTCTCCCATTGCTTTATTAATCCAGTGTCTGAAATGTCTCCTGCAATAATTCATGATTTCTAGCACTCTGAAACTCCGCGCTGTGAAATGTGGAGTCGTGCATTTCGGAGACGTGCATGGGCCTTTAACTTGACATTTATTTGGTATAAACTTCACATGTATGTTTACTGATTAAAGAAATATATGCACAAAATTTATATGATCACGAGCACGGAGTGATAAACACGGACAGTCAGCTTAGTTCAGTTTAAAACTGCTTGTTTACTAGTATTTAATTTCTAGCAAACTTTAACATATCTTGTTGGTTGTAACCAGTTACTTACTTACATTTTAGTATATAATTTTCTGCATGCAAAAACCTAGAATCTTTTGTGCGTAAATTGGTGATAGATCACACTGTAAAATCATATGATGATTAGAATCTTTGTACCATCTATAACGAAGTAATAATATTAAAGTTTTTGAGAGGTACTGCTGGCCTCTTCATCAGTTTGTCCATAATTATCATAATTGGTCGACTTGGATGGCATGGTAGCTAAACCCATGGTCACGGGACCAACTCTTGAACGTTTTACATATGCTGCTTGCCGATTCTGAAAGAAAAATGTCATAAATTGCTATTTTAGTACTATTAAACACAAGCAATTTGCGGTCACCACAAGTTGCACTTTTTAAATAAATCACAAACAATTTGTATATTATAAACGCTAAAGCTCTGCCCTGCCGCTCATGCACATGAATTTTATCAGCGATAAATTGGTTAAGCTGCACATGTGCTCAGTTAGCAAAAAAGTTTTCATACTATAATCAAATATTAAAAGCGAGCAGTCAAAATGGTTAATTATTCATGTTTCGCTCGCCATTCTGGTTTAAATAAATGATTACAAAGCGCTAGCCCAGTCAAATTGTAATCAAGACCAAAACAGTCAGAGCAGTCTATAGTCATTATTCTTCATTTTACGATTATATATTAGCTATATTTTCTTTTTAATTTTACAAGAGGCACGTTCTGTATAGAATATCGAATCCCTGTTAAGTCTGTTTTCCACTTCAACCGTATCATAACGTACCGTAGCATTTTCTTTTGTGTCGAAGTCATTAGTTCTACACTACCGCTCTGGAAACAAAGAAATACGCTACGTTTCGTTACGATTGAAGTGGAAATTAAAACGGATTTTGTCCTAGAGGACAGCAAAGACAGCGCAATTGAGATGAAAATGTTCTAGAGTGTGTATTATATAGTTTCCATACCCAGCGCATTATATATGGGTAAAACTAAAATTTTGTAAACCAGGTACGTGTGTGTCTTTTACAACAAATTATGAATATTTTTCTGTGTTTGTGTAATATGTTTGCGATGTTACTCTGAGTGCATATCCACACCGGGCGAGCTTGAAAAATATGCCCGGCCACGGGGGGATTCGAACTTACGACCTTTGGAATACTAGCCCAATGCTCTTCCAACTGAGCTACGCAGTCAGGACGGTTCGAGTAAGTGATATTTCGGAACAGTATCTAGTTCCTTCAATACCAATGTGTTCTAGTAATATGAATTTTTTTCTGTGTTGGTGTTGTGTACTCAGGTGAATAACATGTTTGCGATGTTACTCTGAGTGCATATCCACACCGGGCGAGCTTGAAAAATATGCCCGGCCACGCTGTGATTTGAACCACGACCTTTGGAATACTAGCCTAATGCTCTTCCCACTGAGCTACGCGGTCAGGACGGTTCGAGTAAGTGATATTTCTGAACATTATCTAGTTCCTTCAATACCAATGTGTTCTAGTAATATGAATTTTTTTCCCTTGTTGGTGTTGTTACTCAAACCGTCCTGACGGCGTAGCTCAGTTGGAAGAGCATTGGGCTAGTATTCCAAAGGTCTTAGGTTCGAATCCCACCGTGGCCGGGCATATTTTTCAAGCTCGCCCGGTGTGGATATGCACTCAGAGTAACATCGCAAACATATTATTCACCTGAGTACACAACACCAGCACAGAAAAAAATTCATATTACTAGAACACATTGGTATTGAAGGAACTAGATACTGTTCCGAAATATCACTTACTTGAACCGTCCTGACCGCGTAGCTCAGTTGGAAGAGCATTGGGCTAACAAGGGGGAATTTCGTTCTCGACCAATCAGCGCTTTTGTTTACATTTTTGCCCTAAGCCAATCAGAATGCGTAAAACCCTTCATCACATGAAATTTGCAAACAAATATATGGGGTTACTTCAGAGCTCTTCTGCAAGCGGTTTTTTGCTTTTTTGCCATGAAATTCGTATATGTTGTTCTTAAAAGAATTCTCCTCAACTTCCTCGTGGCGATTTTTGATTAATTGCGTGATTGCTAAGATATGGGTCTTCAAACTTTGCCTTGCGCAAGCTCAATTACCACCCCTCGAATTTGTAGGTTCCGAACGGATTTGCCTTTCAAATCGAGGTTTGAGAGGTTTTTTTTTTAAAATATACTTTTATCTTCATATTTTCACATAAACTTATTAATTTCCTGTGTAACAAGTAAACAGGACACTTCCGGGCCGGCACAAGTTGACATGTCGATTTCTTGCTAAACAGCGTGGCGATCAATATGGCGAATATCTAAATACAGGGAATTTTTAAAATTTTGTTGGTATAAATGGGCTAAAGAAACTCATCAAATATTTGGACTATGGACCTTCAAACTTATGGCAAGTATTTATTTGATTGATTAGCTCAATAACTGTTTTTTTGGCTCTTTTTTCGTCGATTTCGACGTTTGGTCGACTTCAGAATGTGTCAACATCGCGTGTTGCAGCCTGTGGACATGAATATTTTCGTTTGTTTGACCATAACCGCTTGTCTTATTGTTTTGAATCCTTGAATGACAATATACTCATTGGTCTCAGAGTCCTAAACTTAAGGAAGATGAGGAAGATGGATAACATTGGGACAGAATGATTTTGTTCAATGTTGCTGTTCAGGTATCAAAATTTATGGACATATATGAACTTCATTGTTTTTACTTCATCTGTCTGACTAGTCACAATTGGACCCTGTTCATATTACCTGGCTAGGTGGGAGACGACATTGGCCAGTATGTCCTATCCTATCCTGCTACTATTGGCCTGGCTAAGCATGAGGTTTCCATTGCCAGAATCCTGGCTATATGTAAGCCAAGGAATTCACCATATACAATAAGCACAGTATCCCTAACAGGCAACATGATAGGCTTCAAGCATGTGTTCTGGATAGCCTAGCTAGATCATATAAACAGGTCCCCAATAGATCCCGAGACTATAATTGAAACCTTTTAGTCCATAAAATTGTGCATGACCAGAATACCTGTGCACAAATGAATATTTTACACATATTATATATAGGAAGTGGATATTCGTCCGACATTTCCATATCGTCAATCCAAAATTAAGCCCCCAGCGACCTCACAAATAGGCCTCCATTCCAAAAATCAGATCTCTCTTCCAAAAATAAGCTCTCCCTGTTAAAGGCTGTCAAAATGGGCCATGCTAGCCCAGCAAACTTGGCTGGATTTTCTTTTCAGGGCTAGTTTTTCATTTGCCTCACAGGAGCCAGGCTAACCTGGCAAGTGTTGACAAGAAATTTAATTGTGTGAAATTCTGGTTGATTTCTTAATGACAACAGCTTCAGAAGGCTTATACTAATCAATTTCTTACTTACCTGGGCCAAATTGTGTATTATAACATCATTTTTAGTTGTGTGAGCTGGTTGCATTGGCCAGCATATGACCATTATTAGTGCGAGACTCCCAATGCAGGATATCAACTTGCTCAAGCAGATGCTGGGCCAATAAATTATAATTCAACCAGGCTGTTTCATGTGAATGCAATCTCATGCAAACATATATAAAATTAATATACGAGTCAGTATCTTACCATGGGCAGGTGTATATTAAGCCCATATAAATGGGCAAGACCAGCTTGCCTGGTGTGATATTATACTACTGCATGACAATACCTGCTTGATTCTACAAGATAATGGCCTAAAATGTTGCAATTGTAGTTTCAGGATCTGCTAAGGGTCTGGATATATGATCTGGGCTAGGCAGCATGGGACCGTAAAGGCAAGTTCATGTTGCCTGGTTGTGGGATAGAATGTTTACTGCATGTGAATGGTGAATTTCTTGGCTTGCATAGTTGGGATTCTGGCAGTGGATACCTCGTCCTTAGCCAGAACACAGTTAATAAAATAGGCCAGAATAGTATAGTAGCACTGTAGCAGGATATTATGTCGGCATTACTAGCAAATGTTGTCTCCTGCCTAGCCAGGTCATAAGAACAGGCCCCATTTGTGACTAGTGGGCCAGATTAAGGAAGAAACAATGAGGGTTCTATGGCTATATATATGCCATGAGTGACTATATATGTCCATAATGTCCATAAATTTTGATATCTGAACAAAGTGTTGATATCTGTCCCAAAGTCATCCATTTTTTTAGGACTTAAGTTTAGGACTCTGAGACCAGTAATATATTGTCATTCAAGGATTCAAAACAATACGACAAGTGTTATGGTCAAACAAAC